ATTTCTAAGGAGCATTCTGACTGTGCTTCTTCCAAGACAGATATGCTCGTTCATCTGGCAGTCCATGGTATATGCAATATTCTTTGCCAATATCGTGATTCAAAGGTGTCAATTCTTCTTAAGTCTTCCTTATTCATTGTCCAGCTTTCCCATGCATATGAGGCCACTGAAAAATACCATAGCTTGGGTCAGGCACACTTTAGTTCTCAAAATGACAGCTTTTCTTTTTAACACTTTAAAGAGGTCTTTTGCAGCAGATTTGCCCAATGCAATACGTCCTTTGATTTCCTGACTGCTGCTTCCATGGGCATTGATTGTGAACCCAAGTAACGAAATCCTTGAAAACTTCAATCTTTTATCCATTTATTATGATGTTGCTTATTGGTCCAATTGTGAGGATTTTTGTTTTCTTTATGTTTAGGTCAATCCGTACTGAAGGCTGTGGTCTTTGATCTTGATCGGTAAGTACTTCAAGTCCTCTTCACGTTCAGCAAACAAGGTTGTGTCATCTGCAAACTGCAGGTTGTTAATGAGTCTTCCTCCAATCCTGATGCCCTGTTCTTCTTCATATGGTCCAGTTTCTCAGATTATTTGCTCAGCATACAGATTGAATAAGTATGGTGAAAGGATACAACCATGACACACACCTTTCCTGACTTTAAACCACACAGTATCCCCTTGTTCTGTTCGAACGACTGCCTCTTGGTCTATGTACAGGTTCCTCACGAGCACAACTAAGTGTTCTGGAATTCCCATTCTTTGTGATGTTATCCATAATTCATTATGATCCACATCGTCGAATGCCCTTGCATAGTCAGTAAAACAGAGGTAAACATCTTTCTGGTATTCTCTGCTTTCAGCCAGGATCCATCTGACATCAGCAATGAGATCCCTGGTTCTGTGTCCTCTTCTGAATCCAGCTTGAATTTCTGGCAGTTCCCTGTTGATGTACTGCTGCAACCACTTTTGAATGATCTTCAGCAAAATTTTACTTGTGGGTGATATTAACGATATTATTCAATAATTTCTACATTCTGTTGGATCATCTTTCTTGGGAATAGGCACAAAGATGGATCTCTTCCAGTCATTTGGCCAGGTAGCTGTCTTCCAGATTTCTTTTTTTAAATTGTGATTTAGTTGACAGTTTACAGAGCAAATGAGTTTCTCACTGAAAAATTTATACACAGATTGTTTCCTGGTATTGGCTGCAATCCCACATTGTGTCACCACTGTCCCCCTTTCCCTTTCCACGCCAGGTACACCGTGTCCTTTCGTCCAGTTTTCCTGTCCCACCTTCTTATCTTGGTTTCTGGACAGGTGTTGCCCATCGGATCTCGTATACTTGATGGATCTAAGAAGCAAGTTCCTCATGTGTGTTACTGTTTGTCTTACAGGCCTGCCTAATTTTTGGCTGAAAGGTGAACTTTGGGAGTGGCTTCAAGACTAACTTAGATGGGTGTCTAGGGGCCATAGTCTCGGGGGTTCCTAGAGTCTCTGTCAGAGCAGTAAGTCTGATCTTTTTTTGTGAATTTGATCATTTGTTCCACATTTTTCTGCTGCTCTGTCCGGGACTCTCTATTGTAATCCCAGTCAGAGTGGTCGGTAGTGGTAGCCGGACACCATCAAATTCTGGTCTTAGAATTGCGTAGGCTGAGGTTCATATGGTCCATTAGTCCTTTGGACTAATCACTCCCTTGGGTCTAGAAGAGACCAAGAGTTCTATCTTAGATGGCTGCTTACAAGCTTTTAAGACCCCAGATGTAACTCACCAAAGTAGAATATAGAACATTGTCTTTAATAACTATGTTGTGCCAATTGACGCACAAGTCCCCTGAGTCTATGGCCCTTTGCCTTCGTGCCTGGGAACCTCATCCTGTAAGGTGTTTGTTATGTATAAGAGGTTTCCCCGACTGCACCACTTGTGCGCTCTCTTGTGTATATTAATATGTGAGGAGCACCTACAGTCATGTATTTAGAAATTTCCACCTCCAAACCTGTATCTGCTGGTGGGTGTCTTCTCTTACCCCCCCTCACTTCTTGGCATATATATCTGTGTATCAATTCATAGATTATTGTTTGTTGATTCTACTGTTGCAGGATTGTCTATGCTATAGTAGTTACCATAAACCAAACCAAACTAAACCCGTTGCTGTTGAGTCGATCCCGACTCGTAGTGACCCTATAGTTGTCCTTTATTCCTGCGTTCCTCTCAACGTCCTCTCTTGCCTTGGTCATGTTGTGCTGACTTCTCCCCTATTGTGTATTGCCTTTCCCTTCACCAATATTAACTCATGTCCACTGTCTGTTTGGTAATTTTCCCTCCCTCCCCCTCTCATCCCTGGGAACCATCAAAGAGTCTTTTTTTTTCTTTTTCTTTTCCTGTGTGTAAACCTTTTGTTGCTACTTTATAAAAAACAGTCTTATACAATATTTGCCTTTTTGTGATTGACTTATTTCACTCAACATAATTCTCTCCAGATTCATCCATGTTGTGAGAAGTTGCATGGATTCCTCGTTATTCTTTATCACTGTGTAGTATTCTATTGTGTTTATGTACCACAGTTTGTTAATCCATTCATCTGTTGATGGGCACTTAGGTTGCTTCCATCTTTTTGCTATTGTAAATAATGTTGCAATGAACATGGGTGTGCATGTGTATGTTCGGGTCACGGCTCTTATTTCTTTAGAGTATATAGCTAGGAGTGGGATTGCTGGATCATATGGTATTTCTATTTCTAGCTTTTTAAGGAAGTGCCATACCATTTTCCATAGTGGTTGTACCATTTTACATTCCCACCAGTGGTGTATAAGAGTTCCAATCTCCCCACAGCCTCGACAACATTTGTTATTTTCTGGTTTTTTTTTTTTTTTTTTGATTAGTGCCAGTAATGTTGGGGTGAGATGGTATCTCATTGTCTTCCAAATTTCTTGGCATAGACGAGTGAGGGCTTCCAGCGTTGCATCCGTTTGTTGAAACATCTCAATTGGTATTCGTCAGTTCCTGGAGACTTGTTTTTAGTCAATGCTTTCAGGGCAGCTTGGACTTCTTCCTTCAATACCATTAGTTCTTGATCATATGCTACCTTCTGAAATGGTTGAACGTCGACTGTATCAAAAAGAACTGGTCGACCTTACACGTATGGTGCCTTGATATTTTGATATATTAATGAATATGTTTTTCCTCTGGTGTTTCCTGGGAATACCAGTACACAAAGCCAAATTCAAGGTTGTTGAATTAGACGAACATGGGCTTTCAAGTTTCAGAAACCAAGTTATGAAGGCTATGGACATGTTTGTGCCTCAATGTTACAGATTAAACTGTGTTACCCAAAAATATGTATTAGAATCCTAACCCCTATACCTATGGAATAGGGTCACTATGAGTGGGAATCGGCTCCACGGCAATGGGTTTGGTTTGGTTTTAATCTCATTTGGGAATAGGAATTTCTTTGTTATGTTACTCAGGCCCTATCAGTGTAGGGTGTGTCCTAAACCTAATCACTGCTGAGTTATAAGGAGCAGCACAGACACAGAGACAAGCAAGGACAAAAGGAGGAAGATAGATGCCCTGTGAAAATCGCCAAGAAACTGAGGAAAGCTGGAAGAGACAAGGATCTTCCCCCAGAGCCAACAGAGAAAGAGCCTTCCCCTAGAGCCAGCGCCCTGAATTCAGACTTTTAGCCTCCTAAACTTTGAGAAAGAAATTTCTGTTCTTGAAACTTACCCACTTGTGGTAAATCTGTTACGGTGGCACTGGGAAACTAAGACAGCGCTGTAAAGCCTACATGATGAAAACCGCATGCTCCGTCAGACAAGAGGGTATCCCAGCATGGGCTGCTGGCTTTCTCTCATGAACTAGCAAAGCTAAAGGAGAGATGGAGTTGGTGGATCTCAGAGCTCAGCAACCAACATCAAACTTGAGAGAAGGACTCGGGAAGCCTGAAGGTGGTGGCATCCTGATGTGTGAGTAGCAGCTTCTTCAACTCTTCAGTCAACTTTGCCTATGCGTCCTTTCCATATTTTTCAAAGCACTCTCACCTTTAGCCTTTATTTTACCTTAATGGTGTATTTCTGGGTGATAACTTCATTTTTAAGTACAGTTTGTGTATAGGATAGCCATGAGCTCCCAAAAGTTTTCCACCTGAGTGTCAGCCACCTGACTCTCCACCCATTTCCCAAGAATGGCAACCCTCATTCCTCCTCTACCCATCACTACCCACTATCAAGTCTTCTCCTCTTCCTTTGGCAAGTACAATGAACTTCCATCACAAGATATCTTAACCTTGCATTTTGTGTACAAACTGTACTCATTTACTTTCAAATTGTTGTTTTTCACTTCGATAAACTCCATATATTTTTCTGTGATGTGGCTTGGGTAACTTGGGTTGGGATGTAATGTCATAATTTTTTCCAATAAAATTAATGGAAACATATTTGATGTAACAGCTCTTTATTTAGTGGCAAGGTTTTCAGGAATGAATTAAAGTGGTTCAGCGAGGAATAGGTGCAATTGGTTGGGGAAAGTGGAGACTTCAGTCACTATAATTACGTGATTATGCTAACATGCCCAAGTAGCTCCTGGAATTTCTTGGACAAAAGACATATTTTTAAAGTATAAATAATGCTGGGGCAGCATCAATGCTGGGATGTTTGGAATCAGAGCAGACATTTTGGTGTAGTGGTGAAGTCTCTTAGGAATCTCTGTTTTGTTACTTGTGAGGTTTCAGAAGAAACTTGACTTTGATTCTGTCCAAGTGTGAGGCTAGCTGGGCAGAGGGGCGGTGCTTTATGGTGCCGTCAATGCCAACCTTGTTGTGCAGCAAAGACCTTGTTCCTATCGGCCTGGAGCAAGCAAGGGTGTAAGCGCGTGGCGTGATGACACAGACAGGATATTTCATTCATTTGACGATGGCATAAGGTTTATACTGACCGCACACATGAGTTTCTGGGAAAGTTGTTCTGGCGTCTGAGCTGCATGAATGATCACTGGGAATTAGGCAATGTTGCCATTTTCCAATGCTGCTTTTTCTTTCCACTTTGGCTACAAGTTCATGGTAAGTAAATATGTGTACATGGGTAGTGGAGGTGTGTGTGATCAAGACAGATCAACACACACACACACACACAGCTAGGTATAAAAATCTGGCTTTAGATATCAACCTTGACTTCAGAACTTTTGTGTGGTTCGATCAGGGATTTGAATAAGAAAGGCCCTGCTCTTGGGTGTGTTGAAAACTCATGGGCCTTAAGCATAGTCATACATCCCTTCATGATTACTTATGGTTGCTACACTCATTTGATTCCAATATTTCAGTTCTACAAAGCAGGAGCCAAGCCAAAAAACTACGTGTGTGGGATGGTGGAGGAGATGGGGCGGTGGGTAAGCCACATAGGAGGGGTTTGGGGTGGGAAGGGGCAGGGTGGGGCAGGGAATCTGTCTTGAAGCTCCCCTTGCAAAGTAGCACACTGTTTGTATTTCGATGGTGTTACAAACGTATAACAATCACAAAGTTTTCTAAAGACGTCTTTATTCACACTTCACACCTTACAGAGGACTGAGAAAACCTCAGCCACCCATATCAATGAATATGATTATTTTTATTAGTTTTATTTTTGGTGACTGTGAAGGAGGTTATCCTTCAAAGTCACCAAAAATAAAAACTAAAGTGACCTTGGAGTGGTCACTGGCAATTACCAAAGGAGGGAGGAGGGGAGACGTGCTGAGGATGAAGGAGATCAAAAGCTAAAAATCAAAGCTTTTTATTTTCAACCACATGGCTAGGAGCCCAGGACATTGCAGAGTCTTTTTTTTTTTTTTTTGCATCGTTGAACTCTGCTTTGAATCATTTTGAAATCTTGACTTGAGCCTGTGCTGACCACTTTGGGGCAGACACCAAGGTGGCTAGCCTCTCCTTGAAAGGAATTACCCCCTGTAATCTTCCTGCTCCTGGGCCTGGAGGAGGACCTGCCAAGGCACTTCCCCCACCAGGCTTGGCTTGGCTTGGCTGCCTTCTGCTCCGACCACATACCTTGGTGGACAGGGGCTCTCAGGCTCAGAAAGGAACTCGCCAATAATCTGAAGCTCCTTTTAGGAGTGAGAGCTGCATGCCACTCCTTGCTGATGTCAATGTTGAGCTGGACCCACTGGAGACTGTTGCCCTTGGATGCTATTAATAGGACAACACTGAGTGAGGGGGAGTGAGAGGCAGGGCAGACTGTTGCCACAAGGCTTGTTAACTAGATGTCCTTAATACTCCCATTGTTCTTTATGCTTCAGTGTGTTTAGGGAGGAGTTGTGTGGCTTGGCTACCTAGCAGAACTCAAGCTCAGAATTTTGAACATATTAAAAAGTCAAGCTAAATTTTCAAACAGCCAGCTCTAAGCATTTTAGATTTGTGAGATAAAGAGCAAATCCTAAATGACCCTATTCCAAAATTTTTTTTTCACTTTTCATTTGGAAACCAAACCAAATTTATAGTAAAGTTGCAAGAAATGTACATTGTACCCCAATATGCCCTTTTATAGGTTCACCACTTGGAACATTTTGCCATGTTTTCTTTTTCTCTCTTTTTACACACATTATCGTTTTATTCTTGTTGTTGTTGCCGAACCATTTATGTGTAAGTTGCAGACATTGTGGAGCTTTATCCCAAATCCGAGCAAGGATCTTTTATTAATGGAGACATCCCCTTGCCAAAAAAATGTTATTTTTCAAGGTAGAGTGAGACAAGGGTTTGTGGAAGCCTTTATAAAAAATGTTGGCCAGTCCAAAGTGCTGACTGTGGTCCCAGATAAAGCTAGAGAGAGAGAGAGAGAGAGAGAAGAGGAGACACCACCGCAGCTCTGGAGGACTTTATTGTTTCCATAAAACATATTTTTTCCATGTTCTCTTTAGACACATGAAATGAAGGCTGCATTCCTAAGATCTGACTTGTGGCTTTAAAATACAAATATTTTTGCAGTATATTTTTTGGAGGGATGAAAGCATGTGTTTTATGAACATTTCCCAAACTCTTTTAGGTCTGAGGCTGACAGCCTCCAGCCTGCAGACTGCTGCCATCAAAAATGCATGCTTTTTTTTTTTTTTTTTTTTTTTAGAAATCGTACCTTTCAGTTAACTGAAGGAGAAAACTTTGCTTTCTTCTATGAATCAGAATATCTCTGATGGAAAACTTTAACAACCCCGGGTAGGATCCGCTCCAGTAGGATGGCAGGGAGGTAGTCAGGTTTATCTCACCTGGAGTGTCAATGAGTCTTGCAAGCAGTTTTCTGGGGTTGTCGCTCATTGGTGGTTTGGGTCTCATTCACGATATTCTAGAGAGACCTTGCCCGGCGCCGGTGGCCAAGTGATGCCTGGGAACAGATAAACAGCACCCTAGCGACTCTGTACGGGGATGCGCCCACGCCCCGTCACCCTTTCCAGCTGTCTTCTGCGTTCACAGCGATCAGGGCACTCCGAAGGGCAGCCCAGTTTTCCGTGCTAAGAGCCCATAGGAATTGCACAGCGCTGGAATTCGGCGAAGCAACTTGCTCCAACACGCCAAATTTGCCGCATCCCCAAGACCTCACCCTCCTCTCTCCGCCCTCGCTACCGACACTCCCACCCCCACCTCGGGGACTCCCCGCCCCCACAACGCTGACAATCTCAATCCTGACCCCTTGGATGCGAGGAAGTGGTTTAGCGCCGGAACGCGCTCGGCGCAGCGAGGCCACCAGTGACTCCCAGCGGTGGCGCGGGGTGCTGCGCCCCCTCGGCCCCGTCTCCCCCCGCCCTGCGTCCGCCCCCCCGCCCTGCGTCCGCCCCGCCGCCCCCGCGCCGCCTCCTGCGCCCGGGCTGGAGGCGGATTCCTCTCTCCGGGTTTTCAGAGCGCCTCTCCGAGACCTCCTCCCCGCCCAGGAGGGAGAGAGCCCGGGCGCAATCGCTCCCCGGAGCGGCGGAGGGGCGCGCAGGGAGAGGCCTGCGCCGGGGTACTTTCAAACTGAGACGCGCACATACCCACCCACAGACACACATTCATACTCTCACACGTACATACGCACACACACACACACACACACACATACACGCGCGCGCGCGCACACACACACACACACACGCACACGCCCATTTATATAGGCAGCGGCAGCGGCAGGGGTGGCGGCAGCGAGCGCAGGAACGATGGAGCTGAGCCAGCCGGCCCCGGCTGGAAGCAAGTGAAGAGAGCCCAGGAGCGCCCTGGAATTCCTGCACACGCGCTTGTCACCCTCTCCAAGGAACCGTGCACCCGGCGGGGGCCGACTGGACTAATCTGCTGGGGGCGGGCGGGGGCGAAGAGGAGGCCAGGTGAGCGAGGAGCCCCTGAGTACCCCGACCGACAAACACTCCTGTGCCCGACTTCTGCCCGCTCTCCGCCCAGGTGGGCGCGCCGGCTCCCGCTCGCCAGGGGCGCACCGAGGAGACACGGAAGTCGCCGCCCGACTGCTCGGGATGCCTTTCGCCAAGCGGATCGTGGAGCCGCAGTGGCTGTGTCGGCAGCGGCGCCCGGCGCCCGGCCCGGAGGAGGACGCGAGTGCGGGCAGCT